TGAAAGGAGAGCTCGGATGCCCGCCCCTTTCCGGACTGACCTGCTGCCTGAGCCGGAAACTGACCAGCTCCCCCAGCTGCGGCGCTAACCCCCCAAAGCCTTCTCAACCGCCTCCTCCCCCCGCCGCCCCCTTGCTGCTGTCCAGCTGCGCCCTCCAACCCTCGGTACCCCTGCCCCGCCCCCTCGGCCACCTGGTCGCGGAGGCCCGGGGAAGCTCTGCGGAGACCAGAGGGCATGGGGTCTAGGGTGCCCGAGCCATCCCGGGGGCTGGGGGAGGGGCGCTAGAAAAACCCTTGTTTGTTGGCGGGGGTCTAGGGAGGGGCTGCATCCCCCGCGGGCGGATGCGTCCTCGGCCAGGGAGCCGAAGCCAGGAGTCTCCCCCAAGGCGCCCAGGAAAAAAAGGACCCCCTCGGGCGCCAGCCTTCAGCGGCCCCGCGCAGCCTGCCGACCCGGTTCTCGCCCCTCGCACGCACACACGTGTGCTCCCCACGCGGAGCTCGAGAACTTTCCCCGCACGCCCGCGGCGCTCGCGCCCCTCTCACGCCCAGCGTCGCAGCCTTTAGAGACTCCCCTTCCCCACTGCCTCTTTCCTGGCGCGGGAAGGAGGCTGCCGAGCGACCGCCGCTTCTGAGGCCGGCAAACCTGCCGGAACCGCGCCGGAGGGGTCAGGCGGGGGTTCACACCGTACTCCAGCCGGAGCGCCCCAAGACCTCCCGGGCCAGGGCTGGGCGCCAGGCTCGCCGCCCGCGCTCGGCGGCGGGCTGGGCCCCGAAGAGCTCTCCGAGGCAGTCGGTAGCTCCCCGCTTCCGAGGATCCTGGGGGATCCCCTCCCCCAGACGGGAAAGCGGCGATTGATCCATCTGTCGATGGGCCGGGCTTACCGGCGTGTTTTAGTCACGGAATTTACAATAAACGCCCAGAAACACCGAAAAGGAAGCGTCTGGCTGGCTGGGGAAGGGATGAAGGAGAGGTGAGGTTGCTGATACGGTCGGTCAAGAAGGGCGAGGCGGCGGAGCCGAGGACACGCAGAGGCACACGCCCACGCACGCCGGGCGCCCCGGTTTCACGCTCCCTCCTGACACAGCCCCAGCTACGTTAGCGCTGCCTGCACTCCTCGGCGCACACATCCCTGCATGCGGAGCCGTGCTCGCCCCGTGTGCTGGGGCGGGGTCCACGCAGTGCCTCGTAAACTTTCCACCCTCCCCAAAACCGGATCTGAGCTCGATCTAAGGTGTAGTTGGTGGTGCCTTTCCAGAGGCATCTTTAAATGAGCAAGACTCTGGAAGAGAGTAAATGCTAGAAGTCGACCTGGGCGCAAAGGGAGGGGTCACTCACAAAACCAGCAGCCTTCGCTAGCGGGAAAGCTAGAGGGAGCAACTTCCATCTTGCGGATTTAGGCGGGAACACGGCTTTTCCAGCCCTGGAAGCGCAAAGCGCGGGTTTCCTCCGAAAGCCCATCATTTGGCGCATCCTAGGGCGATGGCCCTCGCTCCACTCTGTCCCCGACCGTTGAATGGTGTCCGCGGGAGGCGCAGCCCTAGCGGGTTAGTGGAGGACCTGGGCCAAGAGGGCTTGGGGATTGGAGCTGGGTAGAACCCCTTCTGGCTGCCCGCCTGTTAGTCCTCTCCGGTTTTAGATGAGTTCACATCTGACAAGGCCTCCTGGCTTTTTCCCAAAAACATGGAGAACTTAAGGAACCGGCTTCAGAAAATTCAGAAAAGTGTAGGTTAAAAGATGAAAACCGGCTGGAATTACAGAGCTGGGTAGTCTTTGACCGGAAGCTGGAAGCCTGGCATCTACAAACTTCCTCCCCTCCGGTACTCCCAGGGCCTTCCGGTGGCCCAGATGCTCCCCTTCACGTCTGCAGTTTTGTATCCCGGGCAGCTCTTCCCTCTTCAACGGGCCCTACTCCAGGCTCCAAAATTACTGCTCAGTACATCCCTCTCCCTCCTCTAAAAGTGTTTTTAAATGTTTTTTAACCCTCACCGGGCATAAGGAGGAAAACTCTGAAACGTATAGGGGAGCTTTGCCCTATGCCCTGGAGTGAGGGAGCTGAGAAAGCAGCAAGGGACACCCAGGGCTGGCTCTCACTGGTTTCCTGTGGTGGATGGGCAGGAATCTCCTCGCAGGACATGCGCGTCTGAGGCCCTTCTGGGACTCGGGCTCACCCGGCCTTCTTCGTAAGGACAGTGCACAACACCAGCCAGACCAGCATTCAGCCTGATGTGGCTGTGGGGCACTCTGACCTTGGGTCTTCTCTTTCCTCCGGTCTGTACAAGCCTATCCCACTACCTCCCTCTCTCTGCCAACCCTAACCCTCAGCCTGAGCTGCCCTTAGAGATGGTAGAGTCCAAGGGTCACACCATTATTTCTTGAGCATCTGCTGTGCGTGAGCCTCCCCTCCACCCCGTGCCAGGATCTGCAGAGGAAACACAATGAACACCAACGAGTCATAGGCAGTTTAGTCTCACCGAACCTCAGTTATCTAGAAAATGAGAATTTTTAAAAAACAAACTTTGTGGAGATTAGATGAGATAGTGTACGCCGAGCAGCTAGTCAAACGCCTGGTTCGTAGACCATTGTTCATAAAATGTCACTCCTCTCCTCTGCGATCCAAAAGAAGAATTGGGAACCCATGACACAGCATAAAACCTAAGTGACAAACAAGCAGGGAGAAAAGGCTATCAGAGAAAAGGGGGTGGAGGGCATAGAGACTACTTGGTAAAGGATCGAAGCTGGGAGATCTTGCAAGAGGCGTCACCGGAGAAGGGAGAGTCAGCAGGTGGGAACGAAAGCCCTCGGTTTCCTGATATATGTTCACAGGCCCTCAGGTACTGCATCCTTCAGACCACCTCCTGGGGCCCATCCCAGCTGCTCCTGAGCTCACCAGCCGAGGAGCCTCCTGCCCACCAAGACTGCCCCTCCCCATCACAGATCCAGGAGTTGCCATGTGCAGGGGCAGGAAAGAGGACGCTTAGTTTAGGCTTTTGGTTTCTTCCCTCTCCCTCATCTCTCTAGGCCTACTTGTCTTGTGGGGTGGATTCCCTGGAGGGCAAGAACAGTAGAGAAACAGGGAAGAAGGACAAGTGGAAGGAGAGAGTATACACGCACTCACACACACACGCACTCACACACACACACACACGCAGTAGCTGACCAGACTCGTGCTGCTCCCAGCTACCTCTCGGAGACCGGCAAGGATTGAACTGAACCATCTGATTCCCAAACTGAACTGAACCATCTGATTCCTTTGGTGGAAGGAAGAAGGCCAAGGGTTCCCTTGCCCCAGAGATAAAGGAACAAAAAGAACCACAGAGCTGGCGAGTAGAGGTGCCACGAGACAACAGCCGACCTAGGGCCTTTCACACTCAGCCAGCCAACACAAACCTACTGGATCTTCCTCTGTCGCCAGCACAGTGCCAGGCTGCAGGGAGTATGTCCTGAGAAGCATGTACAGCTAAACTTAGGTCAGGTACCCATGAAAAGAGTGAGCAGCAACCCCAGGGCTCACTGGGGCCAAGTGAGAAGAAAGAGGACTTAGCGCCACTGGATGTCAGGAGGACTTGCGGGGGAGCCAGGAGCTGAGCTGAACCCCAAAGGATGGTAGAATGTGGCTGAGCACAGAGGAGGGCAGTCGGGGAAGTGGACAGTCCAAGAGTTGGAAGGAACTGGGCGCACAGGTGGGTGGGCCTGGGAATCGAAGATCTGGAAGTCCCAACAAGGATGCACGGTGGACGACAAGCACTGAAGGCTTTGAGCTTGCTCCCCTAGGAGCCACTGAAAGTTTTTGAGCTGGCGAGTGACATGACGAGAATGGTGTTCTAAGAAGATTGATCTGACAGCTCTGTGAAGGATGGAGACAAGGGACCAGTCAGGAGGCAATTGTAACAGTCTCAGCCCGAGGCAATGAGGGTCCGAAGCAGGAGATGGTGGGCATGGATAGAGGAGGTGGCTGTCAGAGACGCTGTAAAGATGAATCAGCAAGACCTTGACAACAGATGCAACAACACAGGGGACTGGGAGGAGGGAAATTGCCTTCCAGTCAGATGGCGGCCGGGCCAGGGTAAAGCGACCAGCCTGGACCTCTCGGGCTTTGTCATTGGAATAAAGTAGCCAACTTTACGGCAAGATACATGTTGCTATTCCTTTAATTCTTATAATAATTCCTTGGGGTAGGTACTATTAATAGCCCCAGGTACAAATGAGAAAACAAGCAAGAAAAGTGATTGAAGTTGCCTGAGGTTATATTTTAAGTGGCAGAACCAGGATTCGGACTCTAGCGGTTGGGATCCAGGGTCCCACCCTGGTAACCTCTGCGTGCTGAATAAATAAGCAAAGTGATGGCTCCCCAGGCCGGAAATTTCATGTCCCGATTCAGAATCTTAAATACTCCCTTTCTCCCTGCCCTGTAAAGTGGCTGTGTGAAGAAATCAAGAGAATTGAACTTTCTTTTTCTCTGTCCCGTGGGCCTTGTCTGGCCTAATCTTTGGAGTTCAAAGTCTAGAGCCCAGATAGGATCCTGTCCAGCATGGCACAGCTGCACAGTGCCCAGCTCATCCATGGGCTTTCCCAGCCCCGTACCAGCCCCTGTCTCCCTCCCAATGGCAGGCTGACCCCTGCCCAACATCTCCTCCCCACACGGCCACTCCAGATCCCTGAGGCCCAGCCCTGCTGGAACGGAGACCAGCAAGGATTGAACTGAACCATCTGATTCCCAAAGAGTGGGCAG